GGGGAGGGGGAGAGCAGAAATGGGAGGGGGAGGAGGAAGGGAAGAGGAAGGGGAGGAGGGAGAGAAGTGGGAGGGGGTAAGGAGGACTTGATTGACAGGACACAAGTGTTAACTGTGTGCGCAGGCGCAACCTCAAGCCTGATTTGGCGGGCTGAGTACATTTGCAAGCACAGACCGCTAGGGGGCGCGCAGTCAGCTCCAGAGCCCAAGAGCACAGCCACCTGAGGAGGGTGCAGCAGGAGCCTCTGGCTCCTCCTGCGCCTGGCCGGCAGCTGCCAGGGCAACAGCTGGCATAGGATGGGAGATGGGGTGCCCAACAGGTCTCAGGCTAGGAAGGTGGGCACAGCCGACCCCAGCCCATCACACATGGCCACTATGTCCCCTAAAATGCATGCCCGCCATCACCAGCCAGGATCCACCTGTGGACATGAGGCAGCACGCTCTACAAAACCGCCCAGAGGGACTTCTGTGCCCCGCAACAGTGGAGATCACTAAAGAGACACGAGGATATCAAGAAAACAATCGCCATAAGGGTCCTTCCAGAACATGATCCCACTTTAAATAAGTGAAAACACAGAAAGCTTGGCCCCGACCTACCTTCGGCAAATCCAATTAAACATAAATTAATTAAAATTTAAAGGCCCACTTCTCCGTACAACATTTTCACTCATTTCCGTGGTCTCTGAACACATGATATAAAATATGGTATTGCTAGAAAATAGTACTAAAGGCGGCCAAAACCATCTAAAGTCATCCAGACCACCACTGCCCCCCCAAATCTAGCCTCCCTTCTCCACAGCAAGAATTCCAAGACCCCGCACAACGGCGACTAATTAACTATTTTATGGCCCCTTCCTCCTGCTCAAATGAGCCACACCTTCCTAAGACCCACAAACCCAAAACCAAATTAAACTAACCCGTGTCCACGCACTTCCACAACCCCCTAAAAGACAGGCAACCAATGTGGCTCACGGCATCTCTGCCCAGTGCGAACCTTACAGCCGCTCCCCGGTGAACCTAGGGATCTTAAAACATTTCCCCCTTCGGTAAACGAATCCAGAATTCTCCAGTAAATCTCACGCCTGACCCCCTCTCCAGCAGAAGAACAAAGGCCACCTCCCCTCCCCACCCCGCCCCCCAAAATTCCGCAGTGCCGCCAGCGCCCTCTGGCGGCCGTCGAGAAAACATTCCAGAAACCTGCCACGTAGCAACCCGCTAGCGCCCCCCCCC